AAAAAAAAAAAAAAGAAAAAAAGAAAAAAGAGAAAGAAAGAAAAAGAAGAAAAAGAAAAAAAAAAGTCGCTCCTTCAACGATACATCGTCCCTTTGTGAAAAACTACACCTCTCCTACGTATGATTTCAAAAGCGCGCCGTTTTCCCCTCCTTCCTTCTCACCTCCTCTATTCGTCTCGTCTCTTTCTCCCCGCCGTTTCAATGCGATTCGTTTTGCGAATCACACGGACGCCAGACGAGGAAGGAGAATTTCCTCTCTCTCAACTTGAACCTCGCGAGTGGAAAAAAAATCCCCTGATTGAAAGTTAATATCGGGGTTATACGCGGATGTTCCGATACACCGGTGGTTATTATTTCTTATATTTCTCCCCGTCGGCGATCCACTCGACCGTTCGAGAAACTACCCCCGGCGTTTTATGGGGCCATACCAGAGATTGAAGTCTGAAGATACGCGATTAGCAAACCCTCTGGCAAGGGTTCTCGGTCTCGAGAACAAGCGATCAATCGAATCTCTCGAGACTGTCGCCCCTTATTACATATTCTTGCCAACAATATTGCCAATGACGCTATTGGAGGGGGAGAGGTGGAACAGAGGAACAAAAATTTCCTCGTCCCTATTCGACCGTCGCGTCCACCAACTTCTCATTTCCTTTTTTCGCTTCTTCTTCCTCTTTTTTTTCTTTTCTCTTTTTTCCTTCGCATTTTTCGTTTCGAGGATTCGAAGAGGGGGTGCAAACGTGCCACGAGGGACAGCGAACAACGCACCCCCGCGCGCAACGGTATTCGACCTCTCAGGATAGAGCTGATCAACCGGATCTCGAGGGAATATCGACTGTCTCGCGACCCATCACGAAGGGGGATACCTTTACGCATCTGTTTCCTTTGCACACGCTCGCTTCCTTCCATCCATATCTCGATTTCTATCTCTTCTGCTCGCCGTTTGAATTGACCGTCCCGGAAAGCCACCGGACGAGATTCCCCTCCCGAAGAAGCCATCGATGCGCCCTCGAACGTTTTCTAAACGTTTTCGACCTCCTCCGTATCCCCTTCGAAATTTGAACTTCAATAGTTTAAACTAACGAGATTTTTCCTCTTTGTTCGTTGATTTTAATTAATAACAGTTCGTTCAGATGATAACTTCATCCGAATGAAACACGTAAATTATTACAGAAAATTGTTGAAAGAGCAAATCGATTCAAATTCGTATCAACGTGACAAAGATAGATCCCGCGTGTTTGTAATTCAAATAATAGAAACCCGACTAAAATTATAATAACCATGCACCGTGAAAATTTCATTCGTGTAAACAAAATTCCAGCTTGATTATATCCGGTTTTACTCAATTTGATCGCGCGACTTGAAATAAATGCGCGTAAAAAATGAAAACCGTTTAAATTGGGGAATGGAAATATCTGTTGACGAATAATTAACGAATGTAAGTACTAATTTAGAATAATTCCATATTCTATTCGCGTTCAAACGCACGCGCATAATTTAAATCTGTGTCGATTTAAAGGGAATCGGATCAAAGGGTCGCGCTAGAAACGAGATTGAACCATAATAAAGCTCGTTCGTACGCGAGATTTTACAGAGGAGGTAACGTTAATTTCGAACGCGAGACAATTCCGGTGAAACCGCATTTTCACTTTTCGCT